TAATTTACCAGTAATACATTTTTTCACCCAACATGTACTTGATGGAGAATTATATGCCATATATATAATTCACAGTACAGAATAAAATAGACCCAGCCCTGTTTTTGTGAAATTTTTTTAAAAATATATTTTATTGATTTTTTACAGAGAGGAAGGGAATGAGATAGAGAGTTAGAAACATCGATCAGCTGCCTCTTGCACATCTCCTACTGGGGATGTGCCCACAACCCAGGTACATGCCCTTGACCAGAATTGAACCTGGGACCTTTCAATCCGCAGGCCGACGCTCTATCCACTGAGCCAAACCGGTTTCGGCAGTTTTTGTGAAATTTATAGATTAGCTGGGATGATGGCGAGCAAATTAATTTTCTAGTTAATTGATTACAATTGAAATAAGTGCAACAAAGGAGATATACAGGAACAATTGGTTCTGTCTGTGTCTGAGGACGTGTCTCTGAGGAAGGGAGGGTTCCAATACTGTGTTGGTACTATTAAACCCCAGGTATTCAAGCACTTTGTTATTGAAGAGCTGAAAATAAAATATTCTCTCCTTGCATGGGTAGTTAGTAAATGTTCTAGAAAAAGAATTATGCTTATAGCTGTTTAACAAGCCTTGAGCAACATTTAACAAAAATAACATATATAAATAGACACTAATATATGAATCCGTTTAGAGTTCAAATCAGTATTGGAGATTAACTGAAGGATCTCTTACAAAAATCAAAATAAACAGGGTGAGACCCATTTCTCCATGGTAAGCTCATCATGGCTATTCACCGCCTTCTCACAGCGCCTAATGCTTACTATGCAACTATAATCAGGAGAGTTGGCATCAATAAAATCTGAGGCTGAAGCTTAGACTTTGACTGACTACTAGTCACTTGTAAAATTTGAATTACAAGTATCTGTGTTTATCATTTCTAGGACGGGGGATAAATGGAGCTGCAATGTGTGTCTGACTTTCCCATATGTAAACCCTCATGTTCTTTGATGTGAATGGCTCCTGAACTGATCCTGATCCTCATTAATCGCTGGCTGTGCAGATAGTGTGTAAACAGTAAGCTGGTTGACATGGGATGCTTCCAGCAAGTCCAGGTATTTCCAAATCTGAAGCAGGCATTGCATCCTGGGCCAGGCTAGTGTGAGGGCAGATACCTTGACTACAAGTCATTCTTAAAAACAGCCTTTGACAAGGTCAACAGTGAAAGACTTCCATGCCTGTCTGGTGTGGCTAAGTGATTGAGCATTCACCTATGAACCAGGAGATCATGGTTTGATTCATGGTCAGGGCACACCCCCAGGTTACAGGCTTGAACCCCAGTGGGGGTTTGTACAGGAGGCAACTCATCAATGATTCTCTCATCATTGGTGTTTCTATTTCTCTCTTCCTCTCCCTTCCTCTCTGAAATCAATAATATGCATATATATATATATATATATATATATATATATATATGCCCAAGCCAGTGTGGCTCAGTGGTTGAGCGTTAACCCAGGAACCAAGAAGTCACTGGTTCAGTTCAGCATGAAAGGGTTGTCAGGTTGAAAACTGAAGTTTGGTTCCACA